CACCCCCTCCTCCTCCTCCTCCTCCCTCCTCCTCCTTTGTTGTCCTGGTTCTTATTATCGTGATCGACCTCCTCTTCGTACCATTATTACTACCTTTTCAGCATCATCATCATGATGATGGTGGCGGGGGAGGAGGACCACCAGTACCACAACCAACTGCTGATGATGCAACCCCACCGAGGAGGAGGAGGAGGAGGAGGAGGAGGAGGAGGGATCTGACATGATGGCAGGGTGAGCAGGTGGCGCGAGCTCCGTCTGGGGTGAAGTCCCGAGCTCCCTCCGAGCATCCGTCCCGCGCTTCTTCTCGAAAGAGCAAGTGATGATAAGCGCGGAAGGGGGGGAGGAGGGAGGGATGGAGAAACTTTGCTTATCCGCCGTGGCCTCTTCTAGTGCCTTGGTGTTCCTGTCCATGATGTACATATGTGAGAATGTCAGAATGTGAAAATGTTTGTGAAAATGTCTGAAAGATCAACTGTTGTCGAACAGCTCGATTGAATAAACGGAATGCAAAAAATATGTCGAAATTTGCTGGAAGATGGGAAACTAGTGGAGGGCGAGGTGGTTGTGAAGGACGATCTAACGAAAGGAACAAGAGAGGAGAAGGAGGACGAAGAGGGGGAAGGGAGAAAAGGGAGGCAGGGGAAGAGGGGGGGAGGAGGATGTCTTGATTTCATTTCTTCTTCTCTCGCAGACAGATTTTTCTCCACTTGTCTCGGATGCAAATGACGCTGCGAGAAAGTTGAGGGGATGAAAAGTTCAGGTAGATGGGGACTGGCCAGACGAAGTGGAAAGAGCAAGAGAGGGATTGGAAGGGAGAAGAGGGAGGGGGAGTGGGAGGAACAGGAACAGGAGGAGGAGGTGGTGGTGGAGGAGGAGTGGGAGGAACATGAACATGAACAGGAACAGGAACAGGAACAGGAACAGGAACAGGAACAGGAACAAGAACAGGAACAGGAGGAGGAAACGAAAGAGGAGGAAAGGGGTGCGATGTCGTTACCCGCGATCACCATTGAAGACTTCTTCTCGTATCCTCTTGAAATCTCTCCCGTACTTCTGCACAGCAAGCACGAGCAGCTCGACATCATGATCGTCTGCCATGGCAAGTGACTACCTCCTCGTCCTCTTCGTCCTCCTCCTCCTCAACTTACTCCATCGAACTCTTGTTGGAACAGAGTTCACCTCTCCTCCTCCTCCTCCTCCTCCTCCTCCTTCATCCCGCCCTCCACCCTCTTGTTTACTTCTGCAAGCACACGTGTCAAACTCCACATCTTCCGGAGCTCAGCTCTTCCTTTGCAAGCTTCTCGTTTCCTCCCGCGTCCCTCGTCGGTAGGCAACCATCTTGTACCTGCCCCAGCATGCGCTTCACTTCCCTCAATCCCTCTTCCTCTTCCTGTGCATATCCCTCTCTTGCTCTCCATCTTCCTTCCCCTATCCTGCTCCTGCTCCTTGAATGCCCTAAACCCTTTTCCTCCTTCCCGAACTCCGCTGACTTTTCCTAGTATTTCTCACCCTTCGTCCCAGGCGCCGAGCTTGACAAACGGCTTGAGGCAGAAGGGAGAAGAAAACGTAGGAAGCTGAGGAAAGAGAATCAGTTCAATGAGGGCCAAGCAAGGAGAGCTATGAGGAGAGGTGTTGAGAGTTGGGAGGAGGAGGAGGAGGAGGAGGAGGAGGAGGAGGAGGAGGAGGAGGAGGTGGTGGTGGTGGTGGTGGTGGTGGTGGTGGTGGTGGAGGAGGAGGAGGTGGTGGTGGTGGTTGGGGGGGGGTCCAGAGGAGCGGAATTTGTCACCGAGGGCTGGAGTTTCTTCCGAACGAGGTTGGTGTCCCGCACCAAAACTCCCTTCTTCTCGCTAGTCAAGACATTTAGTTTGCCGTCTCCACCTCCCCCGCTGCATTCCTCCCTTGATTTGCTGCGGTGGACGAGTTTACATCACAAGGGCACGACACAGGGGAGAAACTCACGGTTTCTGCTCCTCATCAATCTTCGCTTTCTCCAGCTCCTTGGTCCCCCTACCTCCGTCCTCCTCCTCCTCCTCCTCCATTCCCACATCTCCATTCTCCTCCTGCAACCTGCCGGCCGCGTCTAGTTCATCCACTCCCTCCTCCTTCGTTCCAGCATTTCCGAGCATTTCTTTGTCCTTTTTGATCTCTTTGCCCTGCTCTTCCTTTTCCTCTCCCTCCTCGTCAACCTCCTCCTGTACAAATGTCACAACACCAGCGCATGCCAAAGGGCCATCACCTTCACTCTCGAGCGCTGGCTGGTGGGATCTACCTGGACAGGACCTGTCCCCGTCTGATGACTCGGTTGGCTCAGCTCACGATCAAGGTTTCTCGGACGGGCGTCCAGCTGAAAGTAATCCTCATTCGAGCTTTTGGTTGCCACCGTCACCGTCTCTGCCTTGACTCCCTTGTTCGCCTCCTCCTCAGAACCGATCGGGGCCAGCGCAAAATCCGCAGCAGCCAGCTCTGTTACTCCGAGGTCATCAGCTGTAGCTGTTGGCTGCTGCTGTTTGGACACTTTCTTTGACTTTACGCTGTTTGTTTTCTTTCCGGAGTCTTTGGACTCCAACTTCTTGGATTTAGACTTCTTCTTCGAACTCAAAACTTTGCCATCGGTAGAAATTGCCTCTTTGGGCATCTTGTTTGGACTCAGATCTTTGTCGTCGGTAGGAACAGTCTCTTGAGCGTCCTTGTTCGCGCTCAAAACATTTTCGTCGGAAAGGAGTGTCTTGGCGTCTTGGACTTCACCTTGAGATGTTTTCTGAACTTTGTTATCCCTCGGCGATTTGCTGCTGTTGCTGCTCACAGATTTTCTCTTCTTTCCGCTGCTTTCTGGAGTTTTCTCCGGAGTAGCGTCGTCTGAAAATCATTTCAACAAATACGATATACATACTTCTACCTCGTCGCAATTCTGGTTACCTGTCTTTTGATTGTTCTTCTTCTTCTTCTTCTTCTTCTCAACCTGAGCTTCTTCCTGAATCACCTGAAAAGTCGACAACAAGAGTGAAAACGAGTTCAGCTTGTAGCATGATTCACCTTGTCTGAAGAGATAGACCCTGTCCAGTCAAGATCGTACCAATCACAACCAAAAACTTCAACACAGATCGAGCTAGAAAAAGTAATGACCTCCATCACCTTTCGGAGACTTTTTGTTCGGACTCTTGCCTTCACCGTTCATCGCAAGCCACTTTGTCAGCTGCAAGGCAAGTCAAACGCCCTTCTCTCTCCCTTGAGCGGCGCACGAGCTTAGAAGCACTCCAGTCACTGAAAGAGTGCTTTGACGCCTGGACTCGCAGGCTGACTTTCAAACCCTGCAGCCTGTCAGAGGGTTCGGGGGACAATCGAGAAAAAGGACCTCGATGTCCTCTAGCAGTATCGCATCCCGCAGAGGGCAGACATAGATGTTCTTCCTGTTCTTGTCGATCACCTTGCCCTCTGCGTTTGTCTTCATGTTTCTTTTCGTCGTCGAGATCCGCTGCGACTCTTGCTCCTCCCCGTTCAACAAAAACTGCGTGGCACAGCTTTACTCCCTGTCTCCTCCTTCCTCCTTCCTCCCTCCTCCCTCCTCCCTCCTCCCTCCTCCTCCTCCTTCAATCACAGATCATACTGACCTGATATTTCCAGGGAGCCATCACAGGATCCTTCTCTTCGATCTGATGTCAACCATGAGTGGAAAGAACCAAAAGTCTCTTGTCTGACTTCGAAATCGACGAGATTCTCTGCCACCTGTACCGGGCGCATGAGGTAGATGAAGGAGTCGGGAGGAGTCGGGAGTCGGGAGGACAGGAGGGAGGAGGGAGGAGGGAGGAGGGAGGAGGGAGGAAGGAGGAGACAGGGAGTAAAGCTGTGCCACGCAGTTTTTGTTGAACGGGGAGGAGGGAGGAGGGGGGAGGGGGGAAGCAAGGAGATGACGGTAGAAGTTGGCTGCTCAGCTACCAGACCCACCTTGATCACCCGCAGGATCCTCGGGGTTGGGGTCTTGGGAAGGCTTGTCTCCTTGCAGACAGTCAGTCATCACTTGGCAGCAGGCGGTTGAGGCAATCGACCATGTATCCTCTCAGGTCCTTATAGTTCACCCAGCGATCGAATCTGTTGCTCCTGAACCCCTTGCGTCAGCTCCCGCCCAGGATCGCTCCCTGCTCACCATCCAATGAAGTGAACCTTGGCCGTCTGCTCGTCCTCGTTCACTTCCACGATACGGGAGCTGAACCACCTGCCATGGCGGTGAGGGAGAACATCCTTTCCCTCACTTGCTCCTCCTCACTTCCCGTCCCGGTCATCGAAGGCTGCGCACTTGGTCCCTGCGGTGACAAGCGTCATATCGTGAGCTGCATGCTCGCAAGGAGTCACCAGGTTTCATCTCCTCGATAGGAAGCTTTGACTCCTCCTTGTCCTTGGATGAAGTTGGCATCTGCTGTCAGATCAGCCCTCTGCTCCTGCTCCTGCTCCTGCTCCTGCTCCTGCTCCTGCTCCTGCTCCTGCTCCTGCTCCTGCTTGCATTGCAGGAACTTTGACCCTCCTTCCTCCTTCTTGCAACTTCTCGTCTCCACTGAATGATCATGCTCACGTTCCCCTGCCCACCGCTGCCCCCTCCCCTTCCCCTCTCCTCCTTCCCCTCCTGCTGCTGCCTCCCCTCTCTCTCCCCTCCTACTGCATCTCCCTCGCCATCGTTCCCCTCCCTCCTCCCCCTCCCTCTCCGGCCGACCCATCA